GATTGATTTAAACCAATTTACTATACAGTTATAATATTAACTTTTTGTCTTTCTTTTGTTCTTTCTTATTTTTTTATTCCTTCCAATTGTTCACCTGAATTTCTTTCTTTCTCTTTCTTTTTCTTTCTTTCTTTCTCTTTCTTTCTTTCTTTCTTTCTTTCTTTCTTTCTTTCTTTCTTTCTTTCTTTCTTTCTTTCTTTCTTCCTTCCTTCCTTCCTTCCTTCCTTCCTTCCTTCCTTCCTTCCTTCCTTCCTTTCTTTCTTTCTTTCTTTCTTTCTTTCTTTCTTTCTTTCTTTCTTTCTTTTTGTTGTAGTGTTCCATGATTCATTGTTTGTGTATAACACCCAGTGCTCCATTCAATATGTGCCCTCTTTAACACCCATCACCAGGCTAACCCATCCCCCACACCCTCCCCTCTGGAACCCTCAGTTTGTTTCTCAGAGTCCATAGTCTCTCATGGTTAGTCTCCCCCTCCGATTCCCCCCCTTCATTTTTCTCTTCCTACTATCTTTATTTTTTTAAACATATAATGTATTATATGTTTCAGAGGTACAGGTCTGTGATTCATCAGTCTTACAATAATAGTAGGGGACTTTAACACTCCCCTCACTGAAATGGACAGATAATCTAAGCAAAAGATCAACAAGGAAATAAAGACTTTAAATGACACACTGGACCAAATGGACTTCACAGACCTATTCAGAACATTCCATCCCAAAGCAACGGAATACACATTCTTCTCTAGTGCCCATGGAACATTCTCCAGAATTGATCACATCCTAGGTCACAAATCAGGTTTCAACCGGTACCAAAAGATTGGGATCATTCCCTGCATATTTTTGGACCACAATGCTTTGAAACTAGAACTCAGTCACAAGAGGAAAGTCATAAAGAACTCAAATACATGGAGGCTAAAGAACAGCCTACTAAAGAATGAATGGATCAATCAGGAAATTAAAGAAGAATTTAAAAAATTCATGGAAACAAATGAAAATGAAAACACAACTGCTCAAAATCTTTGGGACACAGCAAAGGCTGTCCTAAGAGGAAAGTATATAGCAATACAAGCCTTTCTCAAGAAACAAGACAGGTTTCAAATACACAACCTAACCCTACACCTAAAAGAGCTGGAGAAAGAACAGCAAATAAAGCCTAAACCCAGCAGGAGAAGAGAAATAATAAAGATCAGAGAAGAAATCAATGAAATAGAAACCAAAATAACAGTAGAACAGATCAACGAAACTAGGAGCTGGTTCTTTGAAAGAATTAATAAGATTGATAAACTCCTGGCAAGACTTATCAAAAAAAAAAGAGAAAGGACCCAAGTAAATAAAATCATGAATGAAAGAGGAGAGATCACACCCAACACCAAAGAAATACAAACAATTATAAGAACATATTATGAGAAAAAACATTCAACCAAGTACAGCATCCTTTCTTGATTAAAACTCTTCAGAGTGTAGGGACAGAGGGTACATACCTCAATACCATAAAAGCCATCTATGAAAAACCCACAGCGAATATCATTCTCAATGGGGAAAAACTGAGAGCTTTCCCCTAAGGTCTGGAACACAGCAGGGGTGTCCACTATCACCACTGCTATTCAACATAGTACTAGAAGTCCTAACCACATTTTGTCTTTTTTATGTATTATTTTTCCAATATTTCATTTGTCTTTCTAAATTATACTTATGCCATATAAAAGTTTATTTTTATGTAATAAAATCAGTAATTTTCTGCATAATTTCTGCCTTGAGTTGTATGTTGAGAAATGCCTTTATTGTGCTTAAATTAAATTATCATCTATATTTTCTCCCTGTTCTATTATTATTATATTAAATTTGTTAATCCATTTAAATAACAACTTTATCTCAAATAACCCTTAAGGATAATGGAAAAGGATTATCTTAAAAATGTTAAGTGAAAAAGAAGCATACAAAATAGTATATACAGTATGATCCCACTTTTATAAAACAAGATTCCATTTGTGGATGTTTTGTGTAGAAAAGAGACTAAAAAATAAATATTTAATAATGTTTAGTAGGATTAAAATGTTTTTTAAGACTTTTCTTCTTTATATTTCTTTGTGCTTTCTGAAAGGAATGTGTATCATCTTTATTATCAGAAATTTCTAAAATAACGTTTTTTAGTTTAGAAAACATAGTATATCTTAAAAATGATTTGGAATGGTGATGTTCAACAGAAGTATAATATAAGCCATATATCTAATTTTAATTTTTCTGGTAAACACATTTTTTGAAAGTAAAAAGTAAGTGGTGAAATTAATTTTAATAATATATTTTATTTAACATAGTATATCCAAAATACTATCATCTCAACATGTAATCAATAAAAAACTTTTAATCCCTTATTCTGTTTTTGTACTATGTGTTTAAAATCTTGTGAATGCTTTACATTCTTTTTTTGTACCATGTGTTTAAAATCTTGTGTATGCTTTACACTTTTGCCCATCTCATATTGTGTTAGTCACATTTCAAGTTCTTAATAACCACATGTGGCTCATTATTACCATATTGTACTCTGCATATTTAGAACATAAAAATGTCTTGAGTCCCAAATTGAGCCAAATTATAATTATTTGCTGAACCATTGCTTCAAATTACTTTTGAAATGCAGTTGATATGAATTAGGGACAATAAATTGAAGTACCAGAGTGATAACTAGGTAATCTGAATAAAAAAAAGCTGGGTACAAAAAGTAACACCCCACCCGCACAATCCTGTAGTCCCTTTTAGTCATAAGTATACTGCATACGCCAGGACTCTATCTGCCTCTGTCTCTTTTTCTCTTATCTTTCTCTCCTTTATGCTCATCCATCTCCTTTGCAAAAGACATTTCCTTTTTTCATTCTTATCTTTCATGTTCCTTGCCTAGTAATGTTCCTGTTTTAACTACCTTGACAAGGGAGTGCTCTGAGTCAGTGGTGTGCTTGAAGCTGGCTCTTACTGGCTCAGGACAGCTAATTGTGCATATCAATATTTTGGTCAGGGGCAAGGTCTTACCTGAAGGCTTGAAAGGGCAAAGATCTGCTTCCAAACTTGCCTATGTTGTTTGGCAGGATTCACTTCTTCAAAGGCTATTGGGTTGAGGGTCCCAGTTCCTCACCGGTTGTTGGTTGAGAGATACTGCCCGTTCTTTGCCATATGAGCCTCTCCAACATGACAGTTTGTTTCATCAAAGCCAGCAAAGGGGAGGGGAAGGAGGAAGAGAAGTCTTGCAGCAAGACCAAAGCCACAATCTTCTGCAATGCAATCACAGAAGAGGCATCATATCGCTTTTGTTGTAGTCTATTGATTAGAAGTAAGATCTAGTGATTTTGCCCACTTATAGGAGGGACAATTACACCAAGCCATGAATACTATATTCAAGAATAATTTGAAATCTATAATATCTAAGTTCTGTCAATGAGAATTTTTTTTAAAAAACTTTATTTATTTATTTGCCAGAGAGAGAGAGAGAAGGAGCGTACACGCAGGGGGAGTGGCAGGCAGAGGGAGGAGGCTGCTTGTTAAGCAAGGAGCCCGATGTGGGACTTGATCCCAGGATCATGACCTGAGCCGAAGGCAGACGCTTAACCATCTGAGCCACCCAGGTGCCCCCAATGAGAATTTTTAAGTGCCTCCATTGCACTTCATTTATAAGCTCACTGAATTGTTCATTGGATGTGGATCTATTACTGATTTATTATTTCTTTTTACCACAAGTAATCCATATTCATTAAGAAAAATGTAGTTGAGTACAAAGAAAAAAAATCATCCAATACCTTATAAGAGACAACCACTGTAAATTTTTTAGTGTACATACTTTAAATTTTAAATTTTTATGTAGTAAATCTAAAGCCCTTTTTAATTTTCTTTCTTTACATTTTAGTGTTTCTCTCCACCGAATTCAGATATTCACCTTTATGTTCTTCATTACGGTTCCTATTTAAGAATTGAGACAATAAATGTATACACATAGGAGCCCTTTAGACGTTAATGTGCATCAGAATTACCAGGAATGCTTGCTAAAAATTAAAGTTCTGGATCCCCATTCAGTACATCTAGGGTAGGATCAAGAGTCTACATTTTCTTTTTTTTTTAAAGATTTATTTGAGAGAGAGAGCAAGAACAAATGAGCGCACAGGAGCGTGGGGGGGGGGCAGAAGAGAGAAAATCTCAAGCAGACTCCCTGTTAAGCACGGAGCCTGATGGGGGGCTTAATCTCACCATCCTGAGATCATGACCTTAGCTGAAATCAAGAGTCAAAGCTTAACTGACTGAGCCACCCAGGTTCCCCAAGAGTCTATATTTTCAAGAAAGTCCTCAGATGATTCTCACATACATGGCAGATTAGCATAGGTTTAAGAATTTTAAGATATTATTAATGAATTCATTGTTCCTTTAGGAATTGCCAGTAATCTCTTCCAGAGAAGTGAAACTGCATAACCAAGTTTATTTTATTCAGGAACTGAACTGAGACAAGAACTCAGAGCTCCTGACTCAATCATTATTAATTGTATTTTGTTAAGGGCCTACTTCTTGCCAGGCAGAATTCAGCTTGACCAGCAGAGGGATGCTGGACTGGTGAGACCTATCTTTGGAAACTGCTAAATATCTGAAGGGAAAATCTGAGAATAGGGGGTCCTGCCTAATAGATGGGAATGAGGACAAAAGTAGGTAAACTTAGCTCACACACACCTGATCTTGTTTCATAGTCATGTACAGTCCTCGTCCTCACTTTATAAAGGATTACTGGGTTTATTCATCTGGCTAAAATATCCAAATTTCATACCAAGTGTTTATGAAGTGACCCTTCTACTTTCACAAGGTCATTAAAAATAGTTTCCATTTCTTCTAAAACTACAGAAAATATGAAAGAAAACACATCGACTTATAAGTCCCTATATTAATCCTTTGGTATATTTAATTTCAGCATTTTTCACTGCATGTACTAAATACATAAACATAAGATTTGAAATAAAAATACAGAGGTTGCTTTTTTTAGACTGCTTTATTGGTTTCACAATATAATGACCATCTCTCCATGCAATAGGTAAAGTTCTCCTGCTAACAAAATCTTACAGATTGGATCAAAAACACATTCAACTCGAAGTAATAATAGACGTACTAGAAATGAGTGACATCAAAAGGTTTACAACAAAGCTATATCATGAACACATAAGTTTAGAAAGCAGGTGTCTCCCTATTAACTTCAGAGAAAACACCAGGATTCAAGGCATAAGGCAAAACTCATCATGATGGTCATGGTGAGGGGGGTCAGTGCTAACTGCCCTCAAACTATGACTGAACTGCTTTTCCTTCAGCTTTTGCATGAGTTGTCTCATCTCCTCCCCAATTCTTTCCACATTCTCTTCTCTCATCCTTCCCTGTGGCTCTTCAAGCCTCTGAATCACATCCCATCTATACTGCTGGATGGGCTGCCTCACACGGAACCGCCTACGATTTACTCTAGGCAGACAATATTCACCAGTTTCCAAAGGGAGGGCCAAGGGCTCTCCTTTATTAACAACTTGCTCCTTTTCATCTTTTTTTTCATTTTCCTGGTCGGTATTTTCCATGTTGAGATTTTTTACTGCGTGCTCCTCTTTGGACGCCATTGCTCCTAGGAGACAAAAGACAAAAGAAGGGGTTGAGTTTTTGGTGGACAGGTCAGCACCGAGGACAGAGGCCTCACTACTCATCTTTCAGAGCCCTCGATGTCAACGGTTTTTTAAAATTTCATTTTCCTACCTGAAAAGCTTTGTGCGTCCTCTAGGGGGCCTCCAAGTCCGGACCCCCCCACCACTTCTCTGTCCTACCTCCCCCCCAAACCCACCATTTTCCTACAGATCCATCCCCAAACTTCCGCAGTCACCAAAATGGAGGACAGGGGACAAGGGATGGGGTAGTTGGAAGAGGGTCTCAAACTGTGCTCTGCAACCGCCCCCCACACTGACCGCAGCACCGACCTGGGCCTATCCTTGCTGTCTCCTTCTCCCAATTCTCGCCGTGAGTGCGCCGACGCGACACTTGACACCTAGACCCGCAGACCTGCAGAAGGCCGGCGTGGAGGGAACAGGGGCTGTTGCGAAGCGCTTGGCGCCGATCCGCCAACACCTGGTCCCTTCTGGGTCCCGGCCACCCCTGGCCGCCCCCCATCCGCATCTCCCACCCTCACCCATAGCCTCCCCCCACTCCGCCCCGGAGGTTCACCATTTTCCTGTAGGAATTCGGGTGATTTCCAATTGCTCTTGGTTGCTCTGCTGCCCTCCCGGCCGTCCCAGCACCCCTACCCCAGGGGGCCACTACTGATGTTCCCAAGAATGCCGCTGCGCTGATCCCCTGCGCCGGCTTTGGGAGTAGGCGGACCGCTGCCGCCCTGGCCTCGCGCGCAGGCCCGGGAGCCCTTACCTGCTCTGCTTTCCTCGCGCCCGTTGCCAGCCCGCCAGGCGCAGGACAGCGGGAAGCCGGTACCCAGAAGCTGGACTGACGACTGCACGGAAGGCTGCGTTGCTCTGCAGCTCCAGGTCACGTGAGGGCTCCGCGTCACCAAGGCGCTCTCACCCCTCCCCCTCCACTTCCTCGGGCGGGCGGGGAGTTCTACTGGACTCTGCCCACACCTCTGCACGCACCAACTCCCCCTCCGCTTGTCTGTGAGCGGGGCTACAGCGCGCACCATCTTGTCACTCAGCTCTGTTCTCTTCAATCTGAGGGCGCGCAAGGGGCCTTACCGCCTTATGGTTAGGGTTTGCCTTTCTCTGATTACCGGGGAGGGTTTGCATATCACCCACCCCTCTCCCCAAGGCCTTCGCATTGGCTTGGTCTTTTCAGTTTTTTCTCTTCTTCCTGGCTGTGTATCTGCTTCCTAAAAATTTCTCTTTATTGTTTTATTGTTTTTTTAAAAATCAGTATTGTTTCAAAAAACAAAAATATGAAATTTCATTTTTAAAAGACATGCTTCAACCTGGAGAAGTAAAAAGAAAACTCATTTTTTATGTTCTGCACCACACAGAAAATATTTTCTCTGGACTCCACAGAACTTCATTTTAGAACATTCTAGATTGTTTTAAAATTTTGTAAATAAAAAAAAGGAAGGAGGCTTTGTGGGGGGCAGAGAACCTTCTTGAACACAAATGGTGTTTTGAAAATGATCCAGGAGAAATCTAGTTGTCAGCTCTTGGTCATTTTATATAAATAATCCACCAATTCCCCCTTTCTGGAACAAATTTTAAGATTTATTAATAAACATTTATATTTTATTCTATTATGATTAACATTCATTATATATAGAAAAGAATTTGCTAACAACTGAAGTCATCTGCTAAAATTTAATGGCTATTATTAATGATGATTTTGAAGACCTAAGCAAAGGGAAGGGCTGTGAGGCGGTGGCAGGTTGAGGGATGCAGAGATAGTCAGATTGTCCCTGCCCTGATAAGAGATTGGGAAAGTGCCCATCTTCCCACTGCCACATTCCAGAGCTTTTTATTTCCTACATTCAGGCTCTTGACTGGGCTTACTCCAAAAATACAGATGGACAAGTGACCAAAGTAGTGATCTAAGTAAATTCCTTTAGTTTCTTCCCTCCGTTTCTCCCTCAAATTCCCACCTAGTGACTCATCTCCCAGACAGATGTGGGTGTGTGTGTGTCTGTTCTCATACCTCTTCTATACCTCTGTAGTAGAGGAGTCAAAGAATAGTAGGGAATTGATTGCTGTGGAGAGAGCCTTCCAAATCTTCCTGTTCTCTCCTCTTTGTTACCTTGTCCAGGTGGAAGCCTTTGTGGGATATTTGTGCTATCTCTTACCTGGGTTAAGAAGTGCAGACTGCTGGGATCCTCACCCTACCCTGCCCACCTCCAGGGCACTCAGGAAGAACCCAGCCTTGCTGCAGGGTCACTATCTGCCAGTCCATGCTCACCCTGGTACTCCCTCATTCATGCCAGGGCCCAAGGAACACTATCTACTGACCATCCTGAGTAAACTTAGATTAGTTATTCTCAACACAGAAGTCTATGGAACAGATACTCAAATATTATCTGTATATGTGAGAAGGTAGTAATATATTCACCTTTTTGTGGGAGAGAGGGGCCAAACTTCTTAGCTGATTCTCAAAAGAGGCCATGATTCCTCACCCCTAAAAAAGTTTAAAAATCTCTATATATGCTGTCTCGCTCTCTCTTTAGCCCTTTACTCTCACCCTAGACCTGTTTCTTTTTCAATTGTTTTCTGCCTTAGTATTCACCCATTGGCAAACCCAGAATCTGGGCATCATCCTTGAATCCCTCATCATTGTCCCTCATATTCAATTAATAACCAAATCTAACTAAGACTGTCATATCTTTTTAAAAAAGCAGTATGGAACTATAGTTTACATACCATAAGATTTGTCAACTTAAAGTGTACACTTCAATGGTTTTTAGTATATTTATAGATATGCACAACCATCACCATAGTCAATTTTAGGAATTGACCATTTCATCAAAAAGAAACTCAAAAAGTACACTTTTGCTATCACTCCCCATCCTCTCATTGTCTCCAGGCCAAAGCACCACTAACATAATTTGTCTCTATAGATTTCCCTATTCTGGATATTTCATATAAATGAAATCACACAGTATGTATTCTTTGGGGATTGACTTCTTCATTTAACACATTTTCAGAGTTCATGGCAACAATACAATAATCGTTTAAAGAACTGTTAAACTTTTTCCAAAGTGGTTGATCATTTTAAACATTCCTACCAGCAGTATATGAAGGTTCTGATATCTCCACATCCTCATCAACATTTGTTATTTTCTGAAATTTTGATTCTAGTCATATTAGTGAAGATGAAGTAATATCTCATGATAGTTTAGATTGGCATTGCTTAGATTATTAATGATGTTGAGCATCTTTTCATGTTATAGTTCTACTCCCATTCCAATGTGTGTGTTTTGTCCCCAAACCACCAAACAATTCTCTGGTATCAGCTGGGTGTCCTACAGTTAACTAAATTCTGACACTTTGGAGATAGTATCAGATTCCACAGATTAAGGGCTCAGTTCTACAATATTGCCCTCTATTTCAGATGCTAATCACAAGTCCAGGTTGTTACTTGTGCTTCTGACTTACTGACTATAAATCAGAAGTTCTTCCAACCCCCTCCTTCGGTTTGATTAATTTGTTTGACAGGCTAACAGAACTTCAGAAATCAATTTACTCACTAGATTACTCATTTATTACAAAGGATATAAATCAACAGGCAGATGAAGAAATACATAGAGTGAGATCCTGAACAAAAGAGCTCTGTCACCATGGAGTTTTTAATGCTGCATGGCAGCATATGGAAGCATTCTGGTTCACCAACCTGGAAACTCTCTGAATCCCATCCTTTTTGGGTTTTTATGAGGCTGCATTACACAGGCATGATTGATTAAATCATTGGCTATTGAGGATTGATTCAATCTCCTGCCCATCTCCCCTCCTTGGAAATCAGGGAGTGGGACTGAAAGTTCCAACACTCTAATCATGGTTGTTTCTCTTGGCAACCAGCCCAGCCCACATCTTTAGGGGATTTCCAAAGTCATCTTATTAATGAACTCAGTTGTGGTTGAAAGAGACTTGTTATGTATAACAATGACATCCATTTTACCTTTTTGGTTCTGAAGTGACAAAAGACCAAATATTATGACAAAAGATTGCTCATATCTTATTGCTCATATCTCTTAGGAAATTCCAAGGGTTTGGGGGAGTTTTGTGGCAAAGGCAAAGATCAAATATATTTCTTATTATAAATCACAATATCACACATGTGCTTATCAGTCACTTGCATATATTTTTTGGAGAAATGTCCATTCTGACCCTTTGCTCATTTCTTTTACAATTTTGCATCTTCAAAGTGTCCATTTTCCTACATCTTCACCAACCCAAGTATTATCAGTTTTTTTCATCTTTGCAAATCTGGTAAATTAAATTAATTAATTTAATTAATTTTAAAAATAAAATAACCAACTCACCTTACTTTTCATTTCTTTGTTAATATACTTGAGACTCTTTCTTCATGGTTATTAGATATTCTTTTTGTGTGTGTGACTTGATTGTTTTTGTGTTCTTTGCTCATTGTTCTAGTAGTGTGTTTAGCATAATTTGAGTCCTTTTAGCTGCACAATGGTTGGTGAAAGAATGCAAGAACCAAAAAATGGGGTTTGTATAATAAAAATCAAATGGCCATCTTGGGTTTCTTATAGCCCCAGTTATTCACTGAATTTACAACCATTGTTTGCACACTGTGATTTCTCTGAATCAGGAGCAGACTGTTGCCATGTCACAGGACATCAGGATGACAAAAGTCTGGCAACAAGAGGTTATTTTTTCAGAAGAAGAATGAACTTTATCTACATATGCCAAAAACCTTTATAGTTTTTGTTCTTGCTGCCTTTGCATAAAAGTCATCCAGGGCATTTTCCTGATATTCAATTTCAGTCCTTTTACTGTGAACCTCAATTTTGATCATAGCAATTTCGGAAGGTAAGAGAATAGCAGCAAGAAGGTCATTTACTTGCTGTCCATTTTTGATTGAAGTCCCAGTGGCTGAAAGGAAACCCCTTGGTTTCTATAACATCCCCAAATACAGATGGCCCCAAAGGCATACTGGCTGTCAATATAAATATTAACAATTTGTCCTTTGATAATTGGCATGTTCCGGTAAGGGTGTAGAGCTCTGGTTGTTAGGCTGATTTAGCATATGGAAGGTTTACCCTCTCAAGTAGTACGTACTGGGTAGTAACAGTATAGTCTGCCTGGAAATTCCAATTTTCATTTTTACAGTATGATCATCAACAAACAAAATTACATCAGGATTAGTCAAAGGGGCATCTCAAAAACCAGGAAGCACTGTCATAAAATGTGATATTATTACCTCAAAATCATGGGCTTTGCCCTTGTCAGGCAAGGGTAGTAACAACAAGATTAAGAATGTTGCAGTGTTTAAGATGGAGGGTGGAGTTTGTAAATAAATGTCATTTCTGGAGCTTGGGAAGATGGCAAAGTAGGAGGACCTAAGCTCACCCCATGCCATGTTTACAACTAGATATCACTCACAGCCAAGTAAATAAACTGGAGAATAATCTGAAGACTGGCAGAACAAACTGCACAACTAAATGTAGAGAAGAACCTGTATCTGAGAGATTACGAAGCCAGAAACAGTGGTAGGGAGCTGCCTGCAGGAAGGACAGAACTGGGGGCACAGAGAGGGGAAAGCACCAGGGAACCCATGGAGGTGGGGGGTGGAAAACAAGTCCCCATAACATCTGGCTTTGAGAACCAGAAGGGATGAATTCCATGAGTTTGCATAACCAGTGGAACTTGGAGTCAGGAGTTTTAAAATTCAACTGACTCAGCACTTGGGAGATTCTGTTGGGCAAGTGATAGTTGGGTTTCCACCCTTAAAGAGACAATAGTCCTCTGCAAGGCAACATAGAAGTGACAGTTTGCATAATACTTGGGGCAAACAAGAGAGAGA